TTTTTGCTAACACTCTCTTTTAACGTCTTCTTGTTAACTGTGTCTTTGCCAAACAACTCTTTGCTGATTAACCATCTCTTTTCTAATCATCTCTTTGCTAACCCTGTTTTTGCTAATCATCTCTTTGCTAACCCTGTTTTTGCTAATCATCGCTTTGCTAACCCTGTTTTTGCTAATCATCCCTTTGCTAACCCTGTTTTTGCTAATCATATCTTTGCTAACCCTGTTTTTGCTAATCATATCTTTGCTAACCCTGTTTTTGCTAATCATCTCTTTGCTAACCCTGTTTTTGCTAATCATCTCTTTGCTAACCGTGTTTTTGCTAATCATCTCTTTGCTAACCCTGTTTTTGCTAATCATCCCTTTGCTAACCCTGTTTTTGCTAATCATCTCTTTGCTAACCCTGTTTTTGCTAATGATCTCTTTGCTAACCCTGTTTTTGCTAATCATCCCTTTGCTAACCGTGTTTTTGCTAATCATCCCTTTGCTAACTGTGTTTTTGCTAATCATCTCTTTGCTAACTGTGTCTTTGCTAATCATCCCTTTGCTAACCCTGTTTTTGCTAATCATCCCTTTGCTAACCCTGTTTTTGCTAATCATTCCTTTGCTAACTGTGTCTTTGCTAATCATCCCTTTGCTAACCCTGTTTTTGCTAATCATCCCTTTGCTAACTGTGTCTTTGCTAATCATCCCTTTGCTAACCCTGTTTTTGCTAATCATCTCTTTGCTAACCGTGTTTTTGCTAATCATCCCTTTGCTAACCCTGTTTTTGCTAATCATCCCTTTGCTAACTGTGTCTTTGCTAATCATCCCTTTGCTAACCCTGTTTTTGCTAATCATCTCTTTGCTAACCGTGTTTTTGCTAATCATCCCTTTGCTAACCCTGTTTTTGCTAATCATCCCTTTGCTAACTGTGTCTTTGCTAATCATCCCTTTGCTAACCCTGTTTTTGCTAATCATCCCTTTGCTAACTGTGTCTTTGCTAATCATCCCTTTGCTAACCGTGTTTTTGCTAATCATCCCTTTGCTAACTGTGTCTTTGCTAATCATCCCTTTGCTAACCCTGTTTTTGCTAATCATCCCTTTGCTAACTGTGTCTTTGCTAATCACCCCTTTGCTAACCCTGTTTTTGCTAATCATCCCTTTGCTAACTGTGTCTTTGCTAATCATCCCTTTGCTAACCGTGTTTTTGCTAATCATCCCTTTGCTAACTGTGTCTTTGCTAATCATCCCTTTGCTAACCCTGTTTTTGCTAGCCTTTCTTTCCTAACTCTCTGCTAACTGTCCTTGCTAACCATCTCTTCGCTAAATCTCCTGTACGGGCACTTGTTCCAGGTTGTGGTGCACACATTCCTGCTGGTGACCAAAATAAAAGCATGGCTGATGACAACATTATAACAATAAAAAAAAAGGGAACAGAAATGAACTTTATGACAAAACAAATGTGAGAATAAATAATGAAAAAATTACAGCATGATTTTGGTTCCACTGGCCATTTCCAGCGTTCTGACACTGGTGTAATCCGGTAAATTCTGTCTGCCTGTACTGTGACTTTGCGGCTGTGGTCTACGAGCAGTGCGAAAGCTCGCGGATGAAAGGAACAGATCTGGGTGGTATTGTGTCTGTGGAGCATAATCTTAAATCAATTTTAAAGTGAAGATGTTTGACCTGCATGTGATCAGATTTTCATTCTGCGTGTAATAAATCCACAGCCCACTGCAGGACGGTCTCTTTGATGGGCTTTAGCCTGAAGCTGAGTCTGATAATTGTATGGAAATTGGTGAATATGTGACAGCAGAGGAAATGCAGCGTGTGGTTTAGGGAGGGAGGTGGTATCTGAGAGCCGTTTTTTGAGGTCTGATTTGTCACAGAATGCATTTTAGAAAGCGTAAACCAAAGATTTTTGACCAACTCAACAAAAGCTTGTTTGTTTTGTTTCTGCATATGTAAAAAAGCAAGAAACGCCAATACAGTTGTTCAGACGTTAGTCATGCAAAACACTGATGTAGCTTTTGTGCCGTCTCGCCCTGTGTTCAAAGTTGAAAATTATTATTATATCATTATTATTATCATTATTTATCATTACCACAAGAAGCTTTTTGTGTTGCATTTATTTATTTATTTTTTTTGTATTGTAGTTTTTGATAGTATTTTTTTTTGGTACTATTTTGTCTTTTCCAATTCATCCATGCCAGAAAAAAACATAAATCGTGACGTATCATGTACTGTGAAAACTTTTTGAAGTATCATGATATTACATTTTTTATGTATCGCCCACCTCTAGTTGGCTTATTTGGTCACCAAATAAACAAACGCAGTGCACAGTGCTTAGCTAACATGTTAACAGCTCTGCTCACCCCAGAATATTTTCTAGCTAAGTAAAGCACCAACACAGGTTCAGATGATTTGAACCAGAGGGAGTGAAGTTGAGGAGCTGGTGCTGAAGATACAGAGAGGAGAAATGAATCCTGTGTTTACCGACTGCCTTTAAAATATATGTTTGTTTCAACGTCAAAACATCACAAAAACATGGCAAAAATGTGAAAGACAACAATAATAACTGATCAGATTCAGATTATCATAAAATATGCCCCTCTACTGTTCACGAACACAAGTGTGATTTGGATTGAAAGTTTAAAATCTGCACTTTCCACACAGTTTTCCCACTCGTTTGAATGAGCTACGAGTCAGAACGTTTCATATATAATTACAGTGTGGTCCTGTTCTAAGACCCCAGCTAACATGTCCAGATAGGCCACAGTCATGGGCCTCAATGAGACTACAGATGTGGGCCCCAGTTGGTTAATATTGTGGGCCCCAGTTAGTTATCATTGGGAGCCCCAGATGAGTTTATGTTGTGGGCCCCAGTTAGACTATAGATGTGGGCCCCAGTTGGTTAATATTGTGGGCCCCAGTTAATTATCATTGGGAGCCCCAGATGAGTTTATGTTGTGGACCCCAGTTAGACTATAGATGTGGGCCCCAGGAGGTTAATATTGTGGGCCCCAGTTGGTTAATACTGTTGACCCACCAGAGAACTGGAACTGTACTTTTTCCACTGGACATCGATACCAAAAGGTTCAGTTTTATAATAACCAAGACTAAGAGGATTTTTAAGGCATCCTCCTCTTTGTTTGGTAACACTTGCAGCTTAAGCTGATGACAATTTCTCGAGTTTTTTTGCTCTTCCGGGTGAAGATAAAGTCACTAAGCACTATTAGATCACAAATAAAACCAACTGAATGCATTCGTAACCTTTGAGGTCCAAGAACACTGAGTATGCATGTGAACGCTAACGTAATCATCCAGTATCTAAAATTCATCTACATAGTTCACAGTAACCACATCTACAAGTCTGCACCACCTCACTGAAGGCCTTGATGTGGGTTGAGAGAGGATATATTTACAGAAAAGATTTGAGAGACTATTGACTTCTAGTGTTTGCTAGCAACATTAGCCTTGTAACTCCAGTTTAAAGCTAAAGAAGCAAAATTTTATCTTGGCTGATTGACTACATCTAGAAAATGGTGTAATTTATGTAAAAAGTTTTATTTAAATTGGTAAATTTGTCACTGAACTGTTCATTTAAGCAAAGATAGCAAGCAAGGAAGACCACCAATGCAGCAGTTCCCTCTCTCAGGAGAAAACACTGAGCCTTGGCTCCACTTTACACATGATTATATGTCAACGTAGACGCTTTTGGGAATGTAAGTTAAGCTAACCAGCAAGCAACATAGCTAATTACCTAAATTAGACTCTTTGTAGTATCATGCTAGGAACCAAAAAGACCTTACAATTGTTAATCATGGTTATCATGGAGTCTCTGCTCCAAGCAAGTGGAAAATGAACTAGATCTAGAACCATAAGTTCAGTTCGTTCCCTGTTTGGGTTAGTTTTTGATTCTGAAGTGAAAAAAAACAAGCCCAAATGCCAAAAAATGATTGAAAAAAGATCAAACCAGAAACATCTCTATTTCTAAGCGTTAACAGTCATAAAACAGCCAGGAGTGATTTTATGGCAGAATATAATCTGAAAACATTGAAGATGTGGCTGATTACACATCCTTACACCCACTCATAACCAAACAACTTACATACAGAAGAACGATATGAATACAGTAGGAAACAAGAATGAATACAGGAAAGGGAAATAAAGGAAATGAAACGTCTCCACCATTCAAATATACATTAGAAAGAGACATTAGCAACCAAAAACACATTTACATGCATTTTCCTATAAGTCAAACAATATAAAAGAAGAATCACTGCATACACAATGGAGGAGAAGGAGGATTTTGAATAAATGGGTGAAGAAAGTTGCTTCCAGAGTTAAATCATATAAAGAAACAACACCAGAATCACTAATCAGTCATTACAGTTAAGCACATACAGTACTGTGCAAAGAATTATTGTTATTATTTCCAGTCAAAACAGAAATTAAGTACAAGTTTTTCATCTGTCAGTGTCAGAAAGAAGCAGAAAACTTGTTTAACAGAAAACATCCCCAAAGTTCAGTCTTAAAAGTCGGTTTAGCGTTTTCTGCTTCTCACGATCCAAATAGGCCCTTTTCAGATTTCCGCATTTTTTCTGCCGGAAGTTCTCGTTGCAGGTGACGCTGCTTCCGCTAAAGCAATAACAACAGCAATAATGATGAGTTGAGCCTGTACAGCTCACTCAAGTGTTAGAACTTGAAGCAAAACCAGCTTAACTCAGTTTCAGTGGTTTCTCAGCTGACGGTGAGCAGAGGAAAACAGGTTTGTGCAACTAATAAAGGAATAAACTTCGTCAAATGGAGTAAAAGAACCTCAGTGTCTGCATTTCAGCGCTGCTGACTAACGTTACACTGAACACGGGTCATGATTTAAAGTTGCTGCTGCAGCCGCTTTCAGAGGAACAGTTTTCACTTTCTCTCTCAAAATGATCAGCGACTGAGAGAGCGAGCGCTGGGGGGAGAGTAGATGTTCGTTCACTGGCGCCGGTGGTTCCACCTAAATGGTGCCTGAGCCACCAGAATGTAACTGCTGCACCGTTTAAGGTGGAACTGAAAAATTCGAACAAGAAGCTTCTTCAGCTTCGCGACTTTTTAGAGTTTGACAGTTTCTCTGTGCAGATTAAACGTATCAGGAAACCAGCTGTGTGTTTATAAATGCAAATCAGAAAAGGTCTGCAGTGGCGCTGCGGACACTGACGACCCGGCGTGCCCCCCTGTGGGGATGTGCACGTGTTTAGCTTTTTGCTGGCTTAACTAGTTTAATGTTAGCGAGCTGTTTCAACATCTCAGGCTAACATGGCTAATCCAGCGTTTTGGTTATAGTTTATTTCACCTCCAGCGATTTATCACTCTGTAGACGTTAACTTAGCTGAGATTGCTCAATCTTGGCAACTATGACAAAGATAAAGTTACACACCTTTCTGTGGTGCTGAAGTGATACGAACGCCTGTATTTCTGAGGTTAGTAACTGTCCGTAAGGTGGCGGAACCTTACCCAGCGGTTACGCACTTCCGTTTCTTGTGAAAAGGGCGTATAATCCCAATAAATAACTCATACTTAACCGCAGTTTTGACTGGAAATTAAAGAAATGAAAGGTGGTCTATGACTTTTGCCCAGTACTGTAATGTTTACCAATTAAAATAAAATGTTATTAATATATATAGATTGTGTTTTTAAATGTCCTTGTTCAGCATAAATCACCTTGTTCGGCCTCCTTCAGGTGTGAAAGAGAAAGCTCATGACAATTGTAGAGCTTTCGTAAAAGATATCTTAGGAAAAAGAGTTTCAGTAGAGAAGTTTTTCTTATCTACGTGAAAACTACGTTGAAACTAACTACCCTATGAAAGTTTTGCAATTGCCGCGTTGCAGTTCTTCATATCTTAAACTGCAGCGCAAGGATCGTCCCACCGAGTGGTCCAGCTTGATTTTTCAGTGCTGGTCATGTCCACGTACAGTCTGTGGGCAACCAAAGCTGAAATCAGCCCTGGTTCTGCTCCGTAAGTTGACTGTCCTGAACAAAAAATGTTCATAAAGAAGTTCCGAAGAACGTTTTGTGGGTAAGTCGTAGCGTCCACGGCTCTGGACATGTTCTGTCTGTCAGAACTTGTTGTGCCACTCGCACTGACCCACACTGACCTCCTCCACATCCAGGTTCTTGCGTGATTTGTAGATGAACTCTCCGATGGCCACGAAGACGGACAGCACCAGTCCAGCGGCCAGAACGATGAAAATTCCACCGATGTTCTCCACGCCGAGAGCGCTGGCCTCTTTGCTGTCTTCCTCCGGGCAGCCATTCCCTCTCCACCATTTCTCCTTCATCATGTGCAGCTTCCCTTCTTCCTGCAGCTGCAGGATCGCTATCGTCACCTTATCCCGATACGGAGAACCTGGAAAACATATCTTTATGTTATCTTTGATCTTTACAATTACGGATGTAAAGACATACTTATTTTCTTAGGTTTGGTACGATTTTCCATTCTGAGGTCAAGATTTGATTCTCACACTATTAGCTGATAGCTTGTTTACATTGAGACCTCCAACATCTCCAGTTGCAGAAGTTTCCAGGGTAGGAATCAGCTAAACAGCGATGGAGTCATGCCATAGAAGAGTCACCAACTCTACCTCCCAGCAGGTTTTACCTCCAACCCAAATCTAACTCACTTCATTCAGCCAATCAAGGACGTCTGAAGGCAATGATTAGATGAATCAGGTGGGGTCAATTAGAGTTGAAGCTAAAGTCTTCAAGAAGGTGGATCTCCAGAAGCAAGTTGGTGACCATTACCATAGATGAACCACTTTTGGCTCCCTAAAGCAAATGGTTCCCAATTCTGGTGCTGGACCCCTTGAACTGCACGTTTTTGTGTGCACACCTTCAGGAAGGGTGTGTTAATTAGTGGATTCGTTGGATCAGATGTGGGCAAACACTGGAATGCACAGGGCAGGGGGTCCTCCAGGGCCAGGATTGGGAACCACTGCCTGAAAGAATGTTTTAATTGATAGAGAAGCTTCTATGCAAGTTAAAGGTTTCTCATAGAAACCAGGAACCATTGAGGAATGTTTACTTTTAAGAGTGTGCTCTGTAGGTTCCTCAGAGTTCTCTGCTCCAGATCTTACCGATAGGGGTTCCCACTCCATACCCTTTGGAGTCTATGAGCCCCCCGATCTGGGTGAGGTTGCAGTTCCTCTGGCTGATGTACTCGATACTGGTGGACTCCATTAGTAGGGCGTAGTCTGTGGTCAGCACACGCTGGATCCCCTCACGGTTGTTCTTCACCAGCGCCGTGTTCTTACGGCTGCTCATAAAGGCCCACATCTTCTCGTAGGTGGAGATCTTGGATTTCTGTAAAACAGTAGAACACGTAGTTCATGGTATGACAGCGTGTTCGCCAGTAGTTCAATTTAAATTAGTTTTTTCATCGTTTTTTGATGGCTTAAGTTTCCAGGTCAACCTAATTATCAGTAAAACATCCACTTGCTTGTTCAGTAGTGTGAGCTTTCTGTGTCCAACTGTGTTGTCTATCACTATATAAAAGAAGGTCTATTGGAAAGGTTTAATCTCTGTTCCAGTATTTACTAGTTTTAAAATTTGCGAGGAGTTTTAGAACATCTAGGCCTCCAGGAGGAGCTAGAGCTTTTATCACTTTTCTAGAACCCTATAAAATGGTGGGGAAGTAGACAGTAACCCGCTTGTTGGTTCCTACAAACAGTTTGCTGCTGTTGTGGATCCAAGTGTTTCAACGCTCTTACAAAGTCCTTTGTTCGAGGAACTTTGCTTCAGTTTCTGTTCAGTTAGATTCTAACTGTATTGTTAAAACACTGTGTTGTGTACAAATGTTGCCTATGGGGTCTGTTTAGGCTAATGCTAATGCTAAATGGTCATATTAGCAGGCCATAGGCCAAACGTAGGCTCATTTTCTCTCCTGCTGCTTATTCAGTGCTGTCTTTATTATCGGTAACATGTCTGTTCTGACCTTGAAGAAGGTCATGGTGGACCCGTCCCTCACTGCCCCGTACTCTATCTTGGTCTGCTTGGCCAGGTCGTCGGCCGAGTCGATCGGAGAGTCCATTCGCTCCACAGTGAGGAAAGCAGCCAAGTTAGCTGTGTAGGAGGAGATGATGATGAGGGTGAAGAACCACCAGATTCCTCCAACGATCCTGGTGGACAGAGCTTTGGGCATCAGCTCCGAGCCTGTGGAGGAAACGGACAACTGCCGTTATATACTCTGCTTCTGAACTGATGTGCACAGCGTCTCTAGAGCGATATTTTTCAGTTTAAAGATTAAGAAAACCCCTTTCTGATGATGTATCTCAAAGGTGGGTCAGAAGGCCAGATAGCTAACATTACCATTAGGAAGCTGAATATCATGTCTGTATTTTTTTACTTCTAAATCAGAAGATTTCTTTATCGCACTGAGGGTGGCTCCCAATGGCTATTCAACTATGCAGCGCATGCTGGGTACTGTAGTGAATGAAAACATGCTGGATATTGTAGTGAGAGAGCATTAGTGGATGAAAACACAAAAGAAGCACACAAAAAATGTGAATTCTGTTGAACTGCTGAGGTTGAGGGATATAATTCTGCACTACAGACTATTACATAACACAACAAATAACAAAATGAATGCTAGTTTTGGGCCACTTTAATGTAATCATATATATATATATATATATATATATATATATATATATATATATAATATATATATATATAAAGCAGAAGTTTGGGCACCCCTGGTCAAATGACATATTTTGTTGTTTTTCTAAGTGATATAGTATAGTTTATATTTTACGGTTTTTTCCAATATATTAAAATCAACAAATAAATAGAAATTGAATCATATTTACATCTTTTTACCATAGATGATGTGTTAACTTATTTTGACTCAGAAAATCAACAAAACATGTCTTTTAACCAGGGGTGCTCAAACTTTTCAATATGGCTGTAAGTAGCTAGCAGTTACAAGTTAATAGAGCATAATAAAAGTCCTTTTAGAAAAGCCTGTCTACTCGGCAGCCATCTTTGCAACGCTGCCGGGCAGTTATTTCCTGTTGTACAAGACCAGATTCCTCTCTTATTAAACAGGGTGGGACCAAAATACTTGAAACTGAAGGTCAAACTACCATTTAAAAACAGATTTGAAATCACTGATAAAATCTGACAAGAACCTCATGAATAGTTTGTAGCGTTTGGATCAATAACACACAAAAAACATGATTTTTTGGGTTGTTCTGGCTTCCCCCACTCGCGGCTTAACCAGCAAGCTGATTGGCTTGTTTTTCTTAAAAGGCGGGACTTTCTCTGTAAACAGACACCATCCTTAGCTTTACGAGGGTTCCTATTCATATTTCAGACATTGACCGCCTCCTCCTTTATACCGTCTCTGTCATAACAGGCGGTGATACACCGACAAGTGGGAATGTAGAGACCACCAGTGTGAAACATATTGTTTGAATGTAAAGGCAAGGCAGTGTGCTTATATGTAAAAAAGTCCCTGGAATGTTTAAGGAATACAGTTTCTTTTATACTGGTAACGTGCAAAAACATAGCGCTAACCAGTTACCAGCCAGCTCTTTTGATTTGTTGGCCCTCGGCCCACCATAAAGATTACACTCTGGACAAAAAACTGTGCCCCCCTGCTTTAGACAGTCCTATGTTAAGGTCATACCTTGCTGCATGAGGGCTCCAACGCCGAACCAGATACTGTTGATCAGAGTGAAGTTGTTCTCCACCACATCAGAGTCGGGGTTGCAGGGATGTGGGTTGTACCATTCATAAGGAGTGAATCTGCACACAGACATATAAACACCTACCTGAATATCATTATATTATCATTAAACATCATCAAACTCTGGATTTATTAACCCTTTCAGCCATACATTGTGCCTTAATGTCCATGTTGTCTTTCTTGAGAGTAATGCCCAGTATTATGCTTATTTCACATAACGGCAATATTGAAACGCAAAGCAGGCTACAAAAGATGACTTGCTTTGCTACTGTTTACAACAAATGACGGTTAAAATGGGCTGAAAAGCAGTGAAGTGAAGGCAGATCTTAGACTTCTAGATACAAAGTAGGCAAGCTAACAGTTTTAATGGTAATTGCTAATGATTGTAGCAATAGATACTGATTAGGGATGTGCATTCTGGCTAATTTTGATATTTGAGTGTCCGTAAGAGACACTGAATGGATATTTTTTTTATTTTTTGTGTAAGATTTTGCAGAACGCAGATGAATAACATTCCAGAATGTGTTTTCTTATTCAATAATAGCTGAGGGAAATGAGTAGGTTTACGGAAATGAGTAGGTTTGCATGATAGACAACCAACAGAGGCTACCTCAGACGAGCTAAAGAGCTAAGAGGTATACGGTTGCTAATGAGGACTCACTTTCTTCTATACATGTTAGTGATGGTGCTGGTTTAGCTGGTCACCAAGCATGAGCATACTGGTTGACCAGCATACCAGCATCCAAAACACATCATAAGCTGGCTTTGCTAGTAACCAGTGTATTAACTTCCATTGCTGCTGACCATGCTGGTTTCGCTGGTGACCAGCCATGCTAGTCTATGCTGTTTTTTCTAGCATGACTTTTATTTAATTTATTCCATTATTTATTTCACTTTTGTATCATGTCATCGGATGATAGCAATGGATAGTTTGGGATAGTTGTACAAAGTTACAGTCAGTGACGGTTAAATACTGTAAGTGTTGATGTAAGGAACTGTATGAATCTACAAATTGCATGGAAAGCACAATAATGTGCCACGAAAACATAGAAGGCAAAATATTTACACCATCATAAGGACTCGAAATCTGAAATGACTCCATTCACTCTGATTAACAGACTAAATTTAGCCAAAAAATAGCCACCAATCACATATTGGCCACTGGTCTCTTCCGTTCTCTTGTTTGCCAATAGCAAAGACTTTTAACACTGTTCAAAAGCACCGACAGATCAGAGGAGAGTCACAAATCTCACACCCAGCTGAGTCTGTTTGAGCCATTAGCACTGGGTAAGAACTGCTGTGCGATGGCCAAATCACCGGGCGCAGAGTCAAGAACCTTTTAATGGTGATCCTGCATGCATTTAAGACTGGAATACAGCCAATCAGAGCATAAGAGTGAGACGAAGACTGTTCTGGTCGACAAGGCGACGCAAGAGGCTACGCTAACTTAGTAGCTAATGTTAGTGTGCTAATGTCTTTAACGAGTCTCTCAGAACAATCAGTAGTTTGTAGCACTTTTTTGTCATATTTTTGGCATCAGCTCAGCTCACTAGGAACCTCCACGAAGGTACTACCAAAAATAGTACCCGGCATCAGGTTCCAGGTACCAGATTTGCCTAGTGGAAAACCAAAAAAGGCGAGTACAGTTGAGTCGAGTCGAGTCGAGCTGGTACCATGCAGTGGAAAAGTAGCTTTAATGGTATAGCATGGTGTTCTGTCCTCAAAAATGATCCAAAAAAGATGTAAAATTCTAGATTTTTGTTATCAACTACTATTTTGAACAAACAAACAAATGCACAGGAAGACCTCAGGAGACTTTCCTGAAGTCAGGTCACTTCAGTCAGGTAAGCATGCATGGTCTACCGCTTCATGGCTGAGCTGCTGTTGCTCCTAGACACTTATTAGCACTTACAGTTGTCTGGGGCAGACCTAGCAGGGCATAAATGTCCATACTGATTAGTAGCAAAGGTTGCATCCTATCACAGTGCCATGTTTAAAGTCACCTCTTCAATACGACCCTCTACTGCCACTGTCTACAAAGATCGCATGGCTATGTACTTGATTTTATACACCTGTTAGCAATAGGTGTAGCTGAGACACCTGAACTTACGAGGGGTGTCCACATTCTTTTAGTGTAGTTCTTACCGGGCTGAACAAAAATGATATAACAAAGTTGAAAAAATTGTCGATTTTGTCAAAAACTGTCATTTTGAGCAAACAAACCAACTTGAGACTACAAAATGCTTTAGACTCCAGTCAGATGAGCATGTGGTTTAACAAATTAAAGACTCACCACTAGGGGGTCTGTGTGAAGTGGCTACACCTAAAGTTCTCATTACCTGGCGATGACGAAGAGGACACAGCTGACCCCGAGGCAGGCGAGCAGGACGTACATCCAGATGTCGGGCGAGAGCGGGTTGAGGAAGGAGAAGACGCCCGGGTTGGTGCCGTTGGGTTTGTGGTACAGGATGGAGATGCCCAGAGTCATGAAGGGCTTGGAGAAGTCAATGACCTTCTCCCTGACGTAGGTGATGGTGAGGGGAGCCACGGCCAAATCCGCCACCTGCAGCAAACAGACCGGAATATCTGATTTATTCTATGACCTGACCCTTATTAGTCACCATTATTCCGGCATTAATTAGGCCCTTATAATAACAGAACTAATGTGACCTGAGTGCCGGCTCTAAATGTAGGTATTGTGATATAAACAGAGTCTGTTCTACAGTTTCTCATTAGGCTGAATGAATAACCGACTCTAAATGTAGGTATTGTGATATAAACCGAGTCTGTTCTACAGTTTCTCATTAGGCTGAATGAATAACTGACTCTAAATGTAGGTATTGTGATATAAACCGAGTCTGTTCTACAGTTTCTCATTAGGCTGAATGAATAACTGACTCTAAATGTAGGTATTGTGATATAAACCGAGTCTGTTCTACAGTTTCTCATTAGGCTGAATGAATAACTGACTCTAAATGTAGGTATTGTGATATAAACTGAGTCTGTTCTACAGTTTCTCGTTAGGCTGAATGAATAACCGGCTCTAAATGTAGGTATTGTGATATAAACTGAGTCTGTTCTACAGTTTCATTGATTGCATTAGGCTAATATGGGGGACACATCAAAAATGGAACACGTTGGTTTGACTTACATGATCTATGAGCTCACGGACCATCCCGTTCCACTCGCCTTTATCATTCTGCGCACCATACTTGCCATCCGACACCAGTTTGACCTCATATGAAAAGCCCAGGATGTTGGAGAGCTCCTTCAGAAGGTCCAGACAGTAGCCCTCGAACCGGTCGTTCCCATACAGCGGCTTATCTGACTTCTTATACATCACATACGGGTTTTCCTGAGAAAAAAAAATAAAGAAGGTTAATGCCACAATATAAAAGAAATTTTCTAAAAATTGTATTGGATAACAGTTACTCTTTACCAGAATGGTGGTGACGATTAGGGTCCGGTTGGCCATGGAGTCTGTAACATTAGTCGTCCTGTCTCGAACACTGTCTGTCAAATTAAGCCCTGAATTTGAGTTCCACACCCCGATCTGAAATAAAGCACAATATCGGTATCACCCAATACTCAAGGTTTTAATATTGGTATCACCCAGTACTCAAGGTTTCAATAGTGGTATCGATTAATACTCAAGGTTTTAACATCAGTATTAGTATGGGCTGATACTCAGGGTTTCAATATCGGTATCGGCTGATACTCAAGGTTTCAATATCAATATTGGTATGGGGAAAAAGCTGTATGTGCACTCTAGGTCAATATTTTGTACAGTCTGTAACTCAAATTGAATAAACGGTCAAACTTCAAAGGGTTAAAAACAATGAAAGCAGGAAGAGGGTTACAGGAGAGGATAAACAAGAGTAAACAAATAAAACAGACGGGTCTCAGAGAGGGGAGAGGTGTCTGTCTGGTGTTTGAGCTGCCCTCTCTAACCAGGTTAAACACCTTTAAGTACATTATACTGAGAGGGATTTATCACAGCTCCACTGGAGTAATCTCAGCCAATCAGGTTTTTCCATGCAGAAAGTCATTAGCATAATTCTCCTGAGTGATGAGATCAAACTGCTGAATAACATCAATTACACCTTCATCTATGACACAGCATCTGTCCCAGAGAGAGAGAGAGAGAGAGAGAGAGAGGGAGACACAGAGAGAGGGAGAGTAATAGAGAGAGAGATAATACAGAGATAGAAAGAGAAGAAAGAGAAAGCAAGAAATAGAAAAATGAAGAGAAAGAGATAGAAGACAGAGGCAGGGAGGGGGAGAAAGAAAGAAACAGAAAGAGAGAGAGAGAGAGAGAGAGGAAGAGAGATGGAAAGAGAGAAAGACAGAGACAAAGAAAGGGGGAGAGGGGGAGAGAGAGAAAGAAAGAGATAAAAAGAGGAAGAGAAAGAGATAGGAGAGAGAGGGAGAAAGACAGAGACAAAGAGAGACAAAGAAAGAGGTGGAGAGAGGAGGAGAAAGAAAGAAAGAAAGAAAGAAAGAAAGAAAGAAAGACAGAAAGAAAAGAGAAGGAAAGAGAGAAAGGAGAGAGAGAGGAGGAGAGATAGAGAGACAGACAGAGCACAAAAGAAAAACAGAGAGAGAGACAGAGAAAGTAAGAAAGAAAGAAAGAAAGAAAGAAAGAAAGAAAGAGAGAAAGAGGAAGAGAAAGAGATAGAAGAGAGAGGCTGGGAGAGGAGAAAGAAAGAAAGAAAGAAAAAAAGAAAGAAAGAAAGAAAGAAAGAAATAGAAAGGAGAGAGGTGATACAGAGATAGAGAGAGAAAGGAAGAGGGATAGAGATACAGAGAGAGAAAAGTGATAGAGAGCAAAAGAAAGAGAGAGGGAAAGGAAGAGAGAAGAGAGAGAGAGAGAGAGAGAGAGAGAGAGAGAAAGGGACAGAGAGACCTGCACAATATATCATCTAATTGCTATTTAAACCTTTGCTGCAATATGCAAATGAGCCTCTAATCCATCATTATTATTGTATTGTGACAGATGGTTTCACACTGATTCAGCATACATTAATCACGCAGGTCCATCTTTAACCCCATCATGGTTTCACTGTGTGTTTTAGTGATATCACGGTCACAGTGTGTATCAGTGTGATGACGATGCTGTATTGTGTCCGTATCGTGCAGCTGTGCTGACTGCTGCCGTAAGCAGCCTCTGCTGTGTAAGTAACCCGACTGCTTCATAAACCGCATTATATGAGCGTCTGAGAATAATGACGGAATGACGGACCATTTAATGACCGCAGGAACGGCCCCATGAAGAAACTGCTTACGCTTGGTTTGGCTGCGGTGGGAGAGCTATATCAATATAAACACAGCCAGATTCATACACTCAGCTATATGCACAGGTGTGGCTTCTTCTGGGGGCTTTTTAGTTTACACTGGACTTTAACCCCAACAACCCCCCCGCCCAGTGGCCTGCATCCGTTTCCATGGTTACACTACATTAATCTCTATGATCATGCTACACCCATTTCCGTGGTTACGCTACTTCAATCTTTATGGTCACGCTACACCTGTTTCCATGGTTACGGTACATTAATCACTATGGTCACACTACACCCGTTTCCATGGTTACACTAGATTCATCTCTATGGTCACCCTACACCCATTTGCATGGTTTTGCTACACCAATTTCCATGAACACACTATACACATTTCCATAGATGTCCTACACTCATTTTCATAATTACACTGCACCCATTTCCATGGTTACAATAAATCCATTTCTACGGTCATGCAAAACTGTTTTCAAGTTTGATGTACACCCATCTCCGTGGTTACACTACTCTCATTTCCATGGTAACACCACACCCATTTCCATTCTATGATCATGCTACAGCCATTTCCACAATTACACAACACTAGTTTTCATGGTAACACTACACTCCTTTCCATGGTCATACTGCATTAATCACTATGGACATGCGACATCCATTTCCATGGTTGCACTACATTATCTCGTTGGTCACGCTACATTTGTTTCCATGGTTACAGTACACCAATCACCATGGTCATGCTACACCCATTTCCATGGTTACACTACATTAATCTCTGTGGTCACGCTGCACCGTCACCATGGTTATACTACACCAGTTTCCATGGTTACACTACACCCATACCATGGTCATGCTACACCCATTTCCATGGTTACACTACATTCATCTCTATGGTCATGCAAAACTGATTTCCATGGTTATACTACACCAGTTTCCATGGTTACACTACACCCATACCATGGTCATGCTACACTCATTTCCATGGTTACACTACATTCATCTCTATGGTCATGCAAAACTGATTTCCATGGTTATACTACACCAGTTTCCATGGTTACACTACCCCCATACCATGGTCATGCTACACCCATTTTCATGGTTACACTACATTCATCTCTATGGTCATGCAAAACTGATTTCCATGGTTATGCTACACCCATTTCCATGGTTACACTACATTCATCTCTATGGTCATGCAAAACTGATTTCCATGGTTAGTGGACACTCATCTCCATTGATATTCTACATCCATTTCCATAGTTACGACGCACCCATTTCCATGGTTACACTAAACTCATTTTCATTTTCATGGTCACGCTGTACAGCCACTGCTAACAGCAGGAAACTCTCTGCTACTTCTGCTGACTCAGATATCCACCAACATCAACAGAGAGTGGCAGATTTGGAGACTAAAAATAAAGGGAAGATAAAGGGCTGTAGGGGAGGAATGGAAGCCATAACAAGGAGAAACAGGTTGAGACACCAAACAAACCTTCTTCCACACTTTATTAAAGCGCCCAGCATCGTTCTTGTGAAGTAAATGAAAGAGAAAACAAACAAAAAAATAACATATTACATTTATGAGTGAAGCTGCAGAGTCCTGAACAGGACTGGTGATCAATGAAATCTAAACACAGATTAACTTATTATTACTAAGGCATCTGTTATCATCATCAAAATGATGTGATCATCACTGCAATAATGACTTCATTGTTGTTATGACATAATCTTCTCTGTAATAATGTGATCATTACTGTAATCATTTGATCATCTCTGTGATAATCTAGACATCTCCCGAAGATGTGATCATCACAGTAATAACATGGTAATCACTGTAATAATGTGGGCAACACTGTAATATTGTGATCATCACTATAATAATGTGATCTTCACTATAATAATGACACTTTTCATAACGATGAAATACTCAATGTAATTAAATAATTATAACTGTAATAATGTGGTCATCTCTAAAGATATGATCAGCACTGTAAAAATGTGATCATCACTGTAATAATGTGATCATCACTGCAATAATGTGGTCATCACTAATAACGTGGTCATCACTGTAATAATGTGATCATCACTGTAATAATGTGGACATCACTAATAATGTAATCATCGCTAATAACAGTCATCACTGTAATAATGACTTCACTGTTGAAATGACAGTCATCACTGCAGTAATGTGGTCATCACTGTAATAATGTGGTCATCACTGTAATAATGACTTCACTGTTGAAATGACAGTCATCACTGCAATAATGTGGTCATCACTGTAATAATGTGATCATCACTAATAATGTGGTCATCACTGTAATAATGACTTCACTGTTGAAATGACAATAATGACTGCAATAATGTGGTCATCACTGTAATAATGTGGTCATCACCGTAATAATGACTTTGCTGTTGTAATGACAATCATCATTGTAAACATTTTATAATCACTGCAGTAATTACAGTAATAATGTGGTCATCTCATTAATGATGTGATCATCACTGCAATAATATGGTCATCACTGTGGTAATTTGATCATCACTGTAATAATGTGGTTATCACTACAATAATGTAATCATCACTGTAATAATGTTGGCATCACTATAAAAATGTGATCATTACCGTAATAATGCGATCATCACTGTAACAACGCAATCATCGCTATAAAAATGTGATTATCACTGTGATAGTGTGATCACTATGTGATCATCACTGTAATAATATGGCCATCACTGTAATAATGTGATGATCACTGTAATAATGTGATCATCACTGTAATAATGTGCTGTCCAGCAGAGTTTGGTCATTTCTCTGCTGAATCACACCTGCTTAGCCTGAGCTGAGTACTGCCCGCTGTAGAGGGGGGTTGGTACACCCACCTTTTCCATGCCGTCCTCTTTCAGACTGATAATGTCCAGGTCGAACTCCTTCCTCAAACCGTCTGTCTTGTTTAAGATTATTTGTCCAGTCAGCCCGTTCCACTGAGCCTGACCACAGAAACAGAGGGAGGAAATGATCTCTAGTCCTCATTAGAGGTTAATATAAAAATAAACACAAACACATTGGTGATGAAATTGACAAATCCACATAAACCCACATGAATAAAATATATAACATCAGCACAATTACTGGTGAAAGTAGATCATCTGAAACACAAAGTCATGATGATGTTATGTGTTTTATTCATGTGGAAGTGACAGACACATTTGAATCAAATGAATCAAATGTGATCAGACTGATCAATAGATCAGACTGATCAGTAGATCAGATCTGTTCTCAAAGAGGCCCATTAAACAGGCACATGAATCCAACAAAGAAAGGAACAATGCATCAGCAATAAGCCAAATGGTATGAGTTAAAGTGCCTGTAAGACAATGAGCCAACTAATAATGTGTGCATTTGATATTAATTCATAATGCATCTTTCATTTAGTGCATCATTTTCCATCTCCAGCTGTTTTCATCACTGCTTATAGAGAACGACCAAGACAAACACTAAGAAATGCTTCTATTTTCCCTTCCAGAAAACAAACGTTAAATATCTCTACTACAGAATCAACTCTTCAAATCCCCTTTTAATCCCAAAATAAACCATTGAACACTAAATGCTGGGGAGATTATGGCCTGGTCATCAAAAGCACCGTAGCATATCGTAGAACTGCAATCACAGTGAGTCTGTAGAGAGAGTGATTATAGTCATACTGCTGCCATCAATCCACCGTTCACTCCAGCAAATAATCAAGATACACTGAACTGTCTAAAACTGATTCACTCCAGCATCTAAGCAAGATTCACTAAACCCTCTAAAACTGATTCACTCCAGCATCGAACCAATTCACTAATTCAATTCACAAACAGATTCACCATCTATAACTGAACCATCTATAACTGATTCATGCAACCATCTAAAACTGATTCATTCCAGCATCTAACAGAGATTCACTCAACCATCTAAAACTGATTCACTCCAGCATCTAACCAAGAGTCACTCAACCATCCAAAACTGATTCACTTCAAATAACCCCTAAAAATTCACTCTAATATTTAGTCGTGATTCACTGAACCATCTAATAATGATTCCCCTATATCATTTAATTATGATTCACTGAACCATCTAATAATGATTCATCTCTCCATTTAATCATGATACACTGGACCATCTATTAATGATTCCCTTAAACCATGTAATCATGATTCATTGAACCATATACTAATGATTCACCTCTACCATTTAATCATGATTCACTGAACCATCTAATAATAATTGCCCTAAACAATTTAATCATGATTCACTGAATCATCTAATAATGATTCCCCTAAACCATTTAATCATGATTCGCTGAACCGTCTAATAATGATTCCCCTGCTACCATTTAGCCATAACTCATTGAACTATCTAATAATGATTCATCTCAATCATTTAACCATGATCATTGCACATATTGGCTAACCGGGCTAAACGTTACATGGAAGGAATTCTGGGAGACCGAGACTGAAACCCTGCATGACATTCTGGGAAAGTCAACAAGCTGACTGCCTGCACAGCATTCTGGGAAAACTCCACTGCCTGACTTCTTGCACAGCAAGCTGGGAAAACTGGAGTGGTCCTCTGTGGAGATTTAGTCTTCTCATTATTACTGCAAAACAAATCCCACTCAATCCCCTCTTCCCACACACACACACACACACATACACACTACACGAGGGCAGTGGTGTGTTCAATCATCCTCCATCTGTTAGCTAGAAACAACTAGCTAACATCCTTGCAGAAGATGTTTCAACAGAATAATACTGTTTAAGAGCTCATATAATGGCCCAAAGTTTCCCAGCTTTTGATTTAAGAGTTTGGTGTAGTATGTGAACATTTTTAAAGTTTCAAAACATACTGTTCACTCAGCAGTTCATTTTAAATTCATTGACATTGTCTTCAATGTCACAAAAACCAACATATGTATGCATATCCATATTATAATCCATATTGACCCATCATTTCCCCCTGGGGAAATCCCCAGTGCCATCTTCAGGCCTGTTCTATTACTTTATTAGCTGAAGTGAAGGGTGTTAGATGAGCCCTCATAGGGGCGAGGGATGGAGCGAACACCAATGCCGACTTCAACCACAGAACTTACCGAGCAATCATTGTGCTCTTCCCTTTTCAAACCCCAAAATAATGTCAGACAAAGCTGTTTATAAGGTACAGAAACAAACTACTTTAAAATGCTTAACATTTCAAAACCATAATATTTCATCTGCTGGGCTTTAAGTTACAAACTACTCCATCTCTTATATATGACTGCTACAATTTGTAAGGGTGGCATGGTGGTGCAGTGGGTAGTGCCGTCGTCTGACCGCAAGAATGGCCTGGGTTTGATTCCTGGCCGGTCCTTTCTGTGTGGAGTTTTCATGTTCTCCCTGTGTCTGAATGAGTTTCCTCCCACAGTCCAAAGACACGCAGTCAGACTAATTGGGTAGGCTAAATTGCCCCTAGGTGTGAATGTATGTGTCTGTCTGCCCTGCAATGGACTGGCGACCTGTCCAGGGTGTATCCTGCCTTCGACCCAATGACTGCTGGTATAGGCTCCAGCTCCACATGAACCAAGAACTGGACCAGTAAGAGTCCAGTGACATGGTCCATGAACTGAACCAAGAAGAGCCCATGAACACAGACCAAGAACTGGACCAAGAAGAGCCCATGAAAATGGACCATGAACTGAACCAAGAAGAGCGTATAAACATGGACCAAGAACTGGACCAAGAAGAGCCCATGAACATGAACCAAGAACTGAACCAAGAAGAGCATATAAACATGAACCAAGAACTGGACAAAGAAGAGCCTATGAACATGAACCAAGAACTGGACCAAGAAGAGCATATAAACATGAACCAAGAACTGGACAAAGGAGAGCCCATGAACATGAACCAAGAACTGGACCAAGAAGAGCCCATGAACATGAACCAAGAACTGGACCAAGAAAAGCCCATGAAAATGGACCAAGAACTGAACCAAGAAGAGCCCATGAACACAGACCGAGAACTGGACCAAGAAGAGCCCATGAAAATGGACCATGAACTGAACCAAGAAGAGCCCATGAACACAGACCGAGAACTGGACCAAGAAGAGCCCATGAAAATGGACCATGAACTGAACCAAGAAGAGCCCATGAACACAGACCGAGAACTGGACCAAGAAGAGCCCATGAAAATGGACCATGAACTGAACCAAGAAGAGCGTATAAACATGGACCAAGAACTGGACCAAGAAGAGCCCATGAACATGAACCAAGAACTGGACCAAAAAGAGTCCATGAACATGGACCAAGAACTGGACCAAGAAGAACCCATGAACATGGGCCAAGAACTGGACCAGAAAGAGCCCACTGACATGGACCAAGAACTGGACAAGGAAAACATGGACATGGACTGCCATTTGCCCGAGAACATGTAAGGTCTTTGTAATTCTTCAGTTAACAGACTACAGTTCTACAATTAACAGAATTCAAAAGATTTCAAAGAATTCACAGTATTACAGTCTTAAACACACAAATTTGACGCCACGTTTCATCACCTCTACAATCATCACTCAGCATCAGTCGGGGTATAAGCTATTAGTGGGTATTCGCTTCCATTACTTGTTAACTCCATTTGCGTTCTAATGAAGCAGATTCTAAACGTCTTGGCTGATCATCTACATTTGGTGTAAGGACGTAAATTCACATTAGGACAGAGCACAGGTAAGCAGAAGCAGGTCAGGTGAGCTCACCTCCTTGACCATGCTGATGAAGCGCGAGCCGAAGCGCCAGGGTTTGTGTCTGTGGCACTGCAGAGAGCTGACGGTGATCTGGGACGCTCGCTGGGACGCCGCCGCCACCATGTAAACAGCATCATACATCAGAGCCGCCTCCGTCTGGAGAGAGATGAACAGGCAGATGCTTAAACCTTAGATACACACCACTGCTCAAAAGTTTGTAATAAATGTCAATAATATAAAACTGATTCGGTTGCATGAATAATTCAAATATGTCAGTCTTGAACAACTTTACAGGTTTCAGATTTTAACCTCAGTAGGAAGCTGTAAATAAAACGAATGTTAGATGTGTCCAGAATGATGAACAGACCTGTAGAAGGTTCTAAAATGATTGAGAAAGCTGTAGAACATTGAGAGGTTAATCAATATTCAGAATCCATCCTATTTCCAAAATGGAGATAGAACATGAAGGCAGGTAAATTGACCAAAAAATTAATAGATATATAAATAGATAATTGCAGTCTATTATTCATCATTTTATTCACTTCTAGCTCACAGAATTCTTGGAATACTGAATAAAAATAATATATAAATAGGATGTAATATTTAAATCTACACTGTATATGTTATAAGTTGTACATAAAATAACAAAAATGACTAAAATGTCAATTTCAAACTTTTGAATAGTAGTATACAGTAGTATAGTGGGTGCTGGTATACACATCTAGTCTGCAATCCACTGGTTACCCACAGAAAAGAAGAATATAAACCCATATTTACAAAAAAATGCAGATATATTGAAAATGCTGAGATGTACTACCTTTTTCTACAACCATACATAACTAAAGTGTTGAGGCAAGACCTTTTACATCCATATAAATGTTGCTTTAAAAGTTATTTAGCTTGCGTAGGTATTGCCTAGAGTTGCCTCAATGACCATACACCAGTGGTCACCAACCGTCCTCCTGATGATCTACTTTTGTGTAGAGTTTAGTACCAACCTGCATCTGCCCCTCCCCCTTTACCTAACACTCCTGATCTAGCCAATCAAGAGCTTCTGAACAAGTTAATTGGCAGAGTGTGGTTGGAACTACACTCTGCAGGAAGGCAGATCTCCAGGACCAGGGTTGGCTCCATCAACTAACATAGCCAGCTAGCAAAGATGGGTGGCTAATATCGCGCCGAGCACCCAGAGAGAGAGAGAGGCCAATTGTGCTCTCTTGGACTCCCGGCCACGAATCGCTGTAGCATCACCAGGGATCAACCTGGTGGCAATAAGGCCAATGCTTATGTGGTTTCGCCAATTGGCAACAGCATATTTTGTGAGCCTGGATAGGACAATTGCCTGAAATATGTTACAGTCCAAATGTCTTATCAATACACTGACCGTCATCATGCCCTCGGTCAGGCCACTCTCGGGTTTTTGAGGAGCCTGCATTCTCTCCATGGACCACTTCTCCAGCACAGACGCCACCTCAGGGTTATCAATGTTGAGCAGACGGAAACCTGTCATATTCACCCCACTGTACCGATACGGCTCCAGGTCCAGAGCGTACAGATCCTGCGAGAAACACAGTGAGATAATTACAGACTTTGACTGCTTGGACAGCAGCTATATCTGACTGTCTATATATATATATATATATATATAATATATATATATATATATATATCTGTAAATCTATATATGTAACAAAAAATATATTATTAAGTGCCGTCAAGTCAGTTCCAATTCCTGGCAACCGTTCTTCCTGCCTTCTTTTCGGGCCTTTAGGCTTCTTAACAGCTTGTTTGTGATTTCTTTGGTTGTCTCCAACCATCTTGTAGCTCTTTTTGTCCTCTTCCTCTTTTACCTTCAACTGTTCCAAGCATAATTGTCTCTTCCGATTAATTGGTTCTTCTTGTAAAAGGTCTAAAACACTAAAAATGCTAATATGCTTAGCTGCTAATGATGGATGAAACTTAGCAGTGTGCACTTACACACAATTGTTAATCAGTGGTCATATTCTGTTAATCACATCTGCATTTTAGTCAGGACAATGCTGTATCTCTGCTGTGGCATGAGGTCAGTGTGACTCACCAGTGTGGTAAAGAAGAAATGGTAATATTCGGTCATCATGCCCATAAACAGCAACTGTGGAGACAGAGACATGTTCAAATTCTCATCCATGTGATATAATGGAGCCTTCATCTAGAATTCTACCCCACTTCATGAAAGTCTAGGCTTGTGATGCTAGCACTATCGTAAAGGCCACCACACACCGAACGCTTTGTGTTGCATCCAAAAACTTGAAACCTATCGTGTTATACTGAACCAATGTCCAAAAGGTTCTATGTAGATCCATGTACCACACATTCTACACCAATCTGAACCACTTCACCATGCACATAACCATTCTACCATGTAAAGAACTAGGCTGAAGAGAGAGCTACATTTTCAGCTAAAGACTGTTCTAGCTGAAAGGCTAACTGAAGAGAGAGCTACAATTTAAGCTGAAAGGCGTTCTAGCTGAAAGGCTAACTGAAGAACGAGATACACTTTAAGCTGATGGGTGTTGTAGCTGAAAGGCTAACTGAAGAACGAGATACACTTTGAGCTGATGGGTGTTGTAGCTGAAAGGCTAACTGAAGAACGAGATACACTTTAAGCTGATGGGTGTTGTAGCTGAAAGGCTAACTGAAGAGCGAGATACACTTTGAGCTGATGGGTGTTGTAGCTGAAAGGCTAACTGAAGAGCGAGATACACTTTGAGCTGATGGGTGTTGTAGCTGAAAGGCTAACTGAAGAGCGAGATACACTTTGAGCTGATGGGTGTTGTAGCTGAAAGGCTAACTGAAAAGCGAGATACACTTTGAGCTGATGGGTGTTGTAGCTGAAAGGCTAACTGAAGAGCGAGATACACTTTGACCTGATGAGTGTTAGCACAGCTAGCTGAAAGGCTAACTGAAGAGCGAGCTACACTTTGAGCTGATGGGTGTTGTAGCTGAAAGGCTAACTGAAGAGCTAGATACACTTTGAGCTGATGGGTGTTGTAGCTGAAAGGCTAACTGAAGAGCGAGATACACTTTGAGCTGATGGGTGTTAGCACAGCTAGCTGAAAGGCTAACTGAAGAGCGAGATACACTTTGAGCTGATGGGTGTTGTAGCTGAAAGGCTAACTGAAGAGCTAGATACACTTTGAGCTGATGGGTGTTGTAGCTGAAAGGCTAACTGAAGAGCGAGCTACACTTTGACCTGATGGGTGTTGTAGCTGAAAGGCTAACTGAAGAGCGAGCTACACTTTGACCTGATGGGTGTCGTAGCTGAAAGGCTAACTGAAGAGCGAGCTACACTTTGACCTGATGGGTGTCGTAGCTGAAAGGCTAACTGAAGAGCGAGATACACTTTGAGCTGATGGGTGTTGTAGCTGAAAGGCTAACTGAAGAGTGAGCTACACTTTGACCTGATGGGTGTTGTAGCTGAAAGGCTAACTGAAGAGTGAGCTACACTTTGACCTGATGGGTGTTGTAGCTGAAAGGCTAACTGAAGAGCGAGCTACACTTTGACCTGATGGGTGTTGTAGCTGAAAGGCTAACTGAAGAGCGAGCTACACTTTGACCTGATGGGTGTTGTAGCTGAAAGGCTAACTGAAGAGCGAGCTACACTTTGAGCTGATGAGTGTTAGCACAGCTAGCTGAAAGGCTAACTGAAGAGCGAGCTACACTTTGAGCTGATGGGTGTTCTAGCTAAAAAGCTAACTGAAGAGCGAGATACACTGAGCTGATGAGTGTTAGCACAGCTAGCTGAAAGGCTAAAGGGCTGCTGCTGTCTTTTAGTGAAGGACAGGATTGGATGATATCTCTGCACTGCTAGAGGGACACAAATGGAATTATTTGGCACAAATCCGGACAAACACGGCCCGGAATACAAAGAAACTGTGTCAAGGCATGTTTTTATCCTGGCTCTGTCAGGCAGCATGCAGCGGGAAAATCTCAGAATTTGCATGTAGTTATTTTTCAGTCTCATTACAACATTTAACCTTCAAATGACCAGAGCTGACAAGATTTATTACACACTTCTGTAATCTAGGAATAGCTCAACCAGTTTGCACTGAAGTCCCTGTAGTTACTGAATAGTAAGCCTTTGTATGTAATAAACCTGGGTTGTTAAGAGATTAATATGTAATAAGCCTAAGATTTTAAGGGGTTAACGACCGTTTTGACTGGAGGGGTCTCTGACTTTTGCCCTGATTGTGTATCAGGGAGGGTCTCTGGGCTGTATGATAGGTGGGGGTGGTTGGAGGAAGAGGTGGAATATTTACTCTTTTATTTGATAAAATATGATGAACTGTTCTTAATCCTGTTTGACCAGTGACATGAACTTACAGGTTTAAAAAGGTCAGTATTTGACAAGTGTTGGGTGAGTGAGTGAAGCCAGGTGTGTGTGTTACCTGTTTGAGCACCTCTGCTGATGTCTGGTACGAGCAGTCGAAGATGACGCAGAACTCTTTGCCTTTCTTCATCTCCTTGAGAAGCGGCCGGGCGTCTTTACTCCCCACCGGCAGCTGACGGATCTTTATCTTAATGTTGTATCGAGAAGGAGCTTTGATCAGCTCCTGGAGACGAATCAGACCTGCAGAACAAACAAACACAACATTTTAACCCCTTTAAACTTGTATGTGTGTCCACCCTTCAGTCCCTCACTCATTTACAGCGTTTAACAGCCGGATTTTTACTTTATTTACAATTTTACTCACATTACAGAGGTAGACATTAGGATTCTCACCTAAGGACTGTTATTAGTATAGCATAGTGCTCCTGCTCATTCATAGTAGTTACTGGATAATTTATAGTAGTTACTGATTAATGCATCGTGGTTTTGTAATAATTCATAGTAATTACTGAATAATTCATAGTGGACACAGAATAATTTATGGTAGATACTGAATAATTCATAGTGGATACTGAAAATTTCATAGTAGATACTGAATAATTCAAGGTAGATACTGAATAATTCATAGTGGATACTGAATAATTTGCAGTAGTTACTTTATAATTTATAGTAGATGCTGAATAATTCATAGTAGTTACTAAATAATTCATAGTAGATACTGAATAATTCATAGTAGATACTGAATAATTCATAGTGGATATTGAATAATTCATAGTGGATACTAAGTAATTCATAGAAGTTACTGAATAAATTATAGTAGATATTGAATAATTAATACCAGTTACTGAATAATCCATAGAGGACACTGAATAACTCATAGTAGTAAATTACTAGTAAATAGTAAACTAGTAAATAATAAATAGTGCTAAGAAAAGAATTCATAGTAGTTACTGAATAATTTGTTGTTAGTTTTAAGATTCATAACTGACTAATAAGCCTCCAGTTTAAGTTAAAACTTTTCAGAGCAAATGATTAGCATAACAAAGATGCATTGAAAATGTGTAAATCGTGGAGTAGGACATATATATATATATATATATATATATATATATATGAAGGTTATCCATATTTCCACTAGAAATAATTTTTAAAAACTGCCATGTTTTTGGTCTGGTTTTTTTCCCTTAAAATGTCAGTTCTAGTACAGCATCAACAATGCAGACTGTTTTTCATAAAGGCAAAAAAAAGCACAAAATCTTTTTCATTTGGTCTTACAGGCTTGAGCTTGTAATGGAGTTAACTTCACCCCTGCTCTGCTGGGCTCTGCTCTAGCCTTTTTTTCCCAGAACATTAATTTGAAATAGTCATAAAATCCAGTCTGCTCGTATGTATGCACTACTGAACAGGTAAATTGAAATATTAATGTTAAACTTCCCTGCAGTGCGCTTTTCATTCACTGCAAAGTTGAGTAATTATTTAATTAAGCAGGGAAAGTCTTACGTTTATCTCACATGACTGATTATAAAAACTGTATGTGGAAAAAAATCTGTTCCTTTTCAAAACACAAGTATCCATAACACACACAGATATACATTTTTTTGCAAATATATACAATATTTTGCAATGTATGACAGCTTAAATTTTCTAAAACTGGAATTTATGAAAATAAAAAAATGAACCACCGAGCTCACAGTAGGGGGCGTAGTAGCCCGTCATTAGCTCTTGGATATAAAGTAAGTTAGCGTGGCATGAAAAGTCCCCAAAAAACAGTTCACTTAGCTAATGATAGTGTTTCGCTAGTTAGCTTGTTTTACTCGTGTCATCAGTTTTATTCTGGACGTTAAAAAAGCTTGTCCTAGAGGACTTGGGGAGACAGCATTTAGAGGGGTATACTTTGGTTAGCACCTAAAGTATAACAAGTCGTCCCCAGATGAGATCATCTGGTCCCAAAAGACTACTGTATTGTTAGCACATCTTTCATAATTCAGAAATTGATGCAGTTCATATCCATATTAATTCTGACATATAATTTAGTCGTGTCCAATTCCACCCGCTAGGTAGGCCCCCTCTATCACACAAAGCGTGTTTCCTCTGAGACAGGTGAAGTTCCACCACATCATTTCAAACTGCTGCTAATGCATTATTACTAGACAGCTCAGCACGCTTGGAGGAGAACACTAACTACTAATGTTGTTACTTCAGCTAAGAGACGCTCATGTTGACTACCATTGTGCTGAGTGATGGGGGAGAGGGAGGACCACCCTACCCACCCAGAGAGCGACAGGAGGCAGTTATGATCTCTTGGACTCCCTGCAGTGGGTGATTGCATCATCAAGAATCAACCTCACAATCTCCAGGTGACAGCACCAACACTTAGACAGCCAATAATGGACCAATAAGAATCTTCTAAAACTGCATATTTAGTTGCCTTCTTTTATGAAGTCAGCATTTTGGAGATACAAAGTTTTGTTACGGCAACAAAATAGTAGATCTGCTCCATCACTGGTGAATCCCACCCACCTGTTGCATCTTCATAGACCACCGTCACCGTCTTCCATTTGTAGAACTGCACGATCTCCAGCACAGCCCGACTAATGGGGGCGTAATCTGGGTGCAGGTTGATGTAGAAGCTGTCCTTGTTGTCCACAGACGGGTGTTTCCACCGGGTCTGGATGTGCGGCACCTCCAAGGCGTTGCAGATGGACTGCACTGCGCTGACTGAAGAGCTGTGGGAGGGGCCAAAGACCGCAGCCACCCCCAACCCGAGCTGGTCGCACGCTAAGTGTCAGAAGAGAAAGACAAAAGAGCGTATTTAGGGTACAAAGAGTCCTGAGTTACAGTATAGAGAAACATATGAGGGCGAGTTACAGTATAGAGACATATGAGGGTGGAGTTACAGTACAGAGACATATGAGGGTGGAGTTACAGTAAGAGAGACATATGAGGGTGGAGTTACAGTATACAGACATGTGAAGGGTGGAGTTACAGTATAGAGACATATGAAGCCGGAGTAACAGTACAGAGAGACATATGAGGGCGGAGTAACAGTACAGAGAGACATATGAGGGCGGAGCTATAGTATAGAGAGAAATATGAGGGTGGAGTTACAGTATAGAGAGACATATGAGGGCGGAGTTACAGTATAGAGAGACATATGAAGGCGGAGTTACAGTATAGAGACATATGGAGGAAGAGTTACAGTATAGAGACATATGAGGGTGGAGTTACAGTATAGAGAGACATACGAGGGTGGAGTTACAGTATAGAGACATATGGAGGAAGAGTTACAGTACAGAGACATATGAGGGTGGAGTTACAGTATAGAGAGACATACGAGGGCAGAGTTACAGTATAGAGAGACATACGAGGGCAGAGTTACAGTATAGAGAGACATATGAAGGTGGAGTTACAGTACAGAGAGACATATGAGGGCAGAGTTACAGTATAGAGAGACATATGAGGGCGGGGTCACAGTATAGAGAGACATATGAGAGCAGAGTTACAGTATAGAGAGACATATGAGGGCAGAGTTACAGTATAGAGAGACATATGAGGGCAGAGTTACAGTACAGAGAGACATATGAGGGCAGAGTTACAGTATAAAGACATATATGGGCAGAGTTACAGTATAGAGAGACATATGAGAGCAGGGTTACAGTATAGAGAGACATATGAGGGAAGAGTTACAGTACAGAGAGACATATGAGGGCAGAGTAACAGTACAGAGAGACATATGAGGGCGGAGTTACAGTATAGAGAAACATATGAGGGCGGGGTCACAGTACAGAGAGACATATGAGGGCAGAGTTACAGTACAGAGCAAGAACATATGAGCCACAATCTCAAAAGTAAAAGTGCCAAAAGAGCAAAAGAGGTTCCTTGGAGTGATGCCACAGAAGAACCATTTTAGTTCCCTAAAGAACCCTTGACTGGATGGTTCTTTAAGAACATTTTTGTAAATGAGCTCTGTGACTGTGTAGAAAGAACTCTAAAATCCATTGTGGGATAAAATGCTCCTTGGTAAGACTAGCTGGACTGTATGTTACCTCTGCGAGAAGCTTCAAAGCTGTCAAACAGGTTGATGCGCTGTATGTCGTAGGTGAGTGTGGTATTGGGCATCAGTGTCCTGTTTCTGTTAATGTTGGTCACTGCGAACTTAAAGGCCAGTTCCTCCACGCTGACCGGCTCGTTCTCCAACGTCTCAAAAATGCCCCCTACAAATAAACAGAAAAGCAATATTATAGTAAAAGTGATGTATAAGTTGTATAGATTCCTCTTTGGAATAATCCCTCTACAAGGGACAGATCAAAGTTTTTCACAAGCCTATTCTCTCCACTCAGGACCAATCAGAACCCTTCATGTTGGTATTCCCTCAGTCGTGGACCAATCAAGGCCCTGCATGGACATGATCCCTCAAGGTAAAAACAAAAAAAATAACTCTTCAGTCAGGTAAAACAAGGACCAATCAAAACCAAATGGAAGTATTCCCTCCATCCAGGACCATCCAGAACCCTACATGGTGGTATTCCCTCCATTGTGGACCAATCAAAACACTACATGGTGGTGTTCCCTCAATCAAGACCAATCAATATCCCACATGGTGGCGTTCCTTCCATCCAAGACCAATCAAAACCACACATGGTTGTATTCCCTCCATCCAGGTTGAATCAAAGCCATACATAGTGGTGTTTCCTCCATCCAGGACCAATCAAAACTATACATAGTGGTAAAAGTTGGGCCCACCAGTGAGCACTGGCCATTTAAGGGGGTTAAGGGGTTAAAGTCGAAGCAAAAACAGTGTAAAATTATTTAAAATGTTAATATGATCTTAAAACAGAGGGTTAAATTGATCTGAATGAATCATTGTTCTTTATTTGACAGTTAGTAGGACGTTCAGTGACCTCAAAGCTAGTACAAAAGCATTTAAAAGAAATAAATGAACAGTTGCTTTAAATGAAACTTCAGCCGCTGTGTGGACAGATGTGTGGCACATAAGACCACTCAGATGTCCATCTACGCTCTCCCTTAGAGGTGGTAATAGAATACAGCATTCCATCACCGCCTGGACCCACAGTGTAAAGTGTCCCAGGTAGCCCCCCTGTGAGATTAGAAGAGGGGTTCAGCTGTCCCTCCAGATAACCCGGTGCACTGATTGTTTTTAGTGCACGCTAGGACATGACCAAACGCGTCACAGATTTTCTGTGACAATCATGATCTCATTTGTCTTCTGCCTCCCATCAGTAATCCACTTTACAATGACCGCACATGATCATAAGACCTCAAATTCCACAAAAACTGCACACGCTTTGTAAAAATAGCACACGATTATTAAAAAACGTGGAGCCAGCAAACCTAGAGCTGCAGCCTTCAGCTAAGAGCATATCACTGTGACTATACCTTCAGCTAACTTCGGTGATGCAAGAATCTGCTCCCAATTGCAGTTACCTCATTAAAGTCCCCAAACCCAATACACTCCTCACCCCTAAACCCAACTGAACCACTTCATTTAAGGTCACGAGCTGCAGAGCGGTGACTGACATGTATTGTTTACTTTTTTAAACCCCAAAATTTCTACATAATTAAGTGGTTAAGATGTAATCAGAGCGGTTCAGAGTGGTTTGGTGTGAAACGCACCGTTCTAGAGAAACTTACCGAGTCAGAACCGTTCACAGTGGTGGTGATAGGAACCAGACGTCCACCTCTAAAAGCTCCCTCACGGAAAGTTACTACATGAAATAGTTATGAATTCACTGCCTGATGACTGAGACACTGTTTTATGATAGTTTTGAGAAGATTTTGGCTTTAAACTCCATTCATGGTGGAGGGATACATAATATGCAGGGCGCTGTGAGGCAAAATAGTCCCCAAAGAAAACTTATTATTTCAGATTTTCCACTATTTTCCGTCATCAACATTCCATATAAACTCAGAAGACTCGTGTAAGTTCACTGGTGGTTCTGGATAATAAATAAATTGTCTATATTTGTGTTGTAGTCATGGCGACCCCTGGTTCCCATCCCCACCACTGTAAAGACATCTGAACCATTTCACCCCAAACCACCAAATTCCAAATTCAGAAGACATGTGTAGGTTCACTGGTGGTTCTACTGTTCTAAATAGTGATCAGGTTTTTCCAATGTGGGGTTTTAGTGATTTGGGGACCATTTCGGACACAACGGAGTCTTGAACAATGAGCCATTTAACACCAAACCACTCTGAATGACTTTATTTACTAGAGGATCAAACGTAATTTGTAATTTAAGATTCAGAAACTCAGAAGTTCCGAAAGACAGTGAGAGAAACATCATGAAGCAAATAAAAATTGTGATACAAATTACTGTTACTAGGGCTGTTGTACCTAGTAAGGTTCATATTTACCTTAGCACATTCAAAGCTAGATTGATTATTAAGTTCAATCCTGAACGTTACAATCTTTGTCAGTCTGTTTATCACATCAAACTTTTTTCCAACAAATCATCCACTGCGTTCCTCAGCACCGCCTGCTGACTTACCACCTGTTTCTGAATCAATCAGGCCTGAAACAGCAGCAGCTCGTCCAGCTTTGTGTGAAAACGCTGTTTGTGGAACAGTCTGAGGGATTGTGAGTGATTTAGGAGGAGAGGAGTGGGGCGAAGGTCTCGTCGGGACGCTGATTGTCAACGACCTTTTCTATCGCTCTCCTACTGTGTTGACCGCAGTTGGACTGAGCAGGAGTTGTGTGGTCTGCATGGTCTCTCAAAGGGCCATTTCGAAGATGCTCTTGATAAAGGCCAGCAAGCCCCACTGAGGAAGCCTTCACCACCCACTGAAGCTTTCACAGGACCAATCAAAACTCTTAGTGGGAAAAACCTGATAGAAGGGACAAATCAAAACTATGGGCTCACGAAATATCAGTGGCTAATATATTGTCCATATATTATCTGATATCACTATTGTGACGTCAGCAGAAGAAGAAGCACAGAGGTGGCCATGATTCTGCTGAAACACTGAAACTGTGTGTGTGGGGGGGGGTCACCATTAGCCACACAATTTACCTCAATGGTGGCCCCATCACACACAAAACCCCCAACGAAACCTACACCCCAACACAATAAACACATAACTTAAACTAACAACTAAAATCATGAAACAATGCAACAAGTCCCTTTGTTGGAGGGTGCGCGCTATCTTGAGCCATCTGCCTAAGCACACCTCGGTGCCAGTGCCAGCCAGTAGTGGGACGCTACAGTATGTTTTCTATTGGTATCGGCCTCAACAAGTCAATTATTGGTTTTTGCAATTGGAACAGAAATTCCACACCAATGATATTAATACTCTCTCCAGTCAGGCCCAATAAAAACCCTTCACAGTGGTATTCCCTCATTGCAGGACCAATCAAAGCCCTACACAGACATGATCCCTTAATGCAAGATCAATGGTAACTTGGAGGACCAGGACCAGTCCAAACCCTACCTGGTGGTACTCCTTAACCCATTAACTGTTGTCCCATTTTAGCCTGAAAAGACAAACCGAAAGTAAAAGGGCACTGTTCCCACATACTTTGGGATACAGTCGTGATCTCGGTCTCATTTGAAAGGAAACACTCTCATGTCAGAATAACTGTATGAATTAGCGACTCAGAGTAACAGAGTCTAGAATGGAGGAGTTTATTTCCTCCTGACTCATAGATCTCTAAACTGATCTCTGACTCTTGCTGTGTTATAAGACCACGTTTTGGATTATGATGTCTCTGTGGAGAACGACGAGGCTTTGAAGGTGAGGACACACAGATTTGCTAGAGCTTCAGTGCCTACTTTGCAAATGAGACGATCGTAACTGCTGTGAATAACGGATCATGAAATGGTTTGTGGGAATCGAATCCTGAGATTTCAAGCTTTCTAGCAGTATATTGCATCACCATACTGCTGGACAATTTCATGTGTAAAAATGATGTATAAAAAAACAGAAATGAAGGCTGTGACGCAAGTGTTCCGGTGCCGGCACTGTGTTCTAAATAAGGTTAAACCCAGGACCAATCAAAACCCTTCATGGAGGTATTTCTTCCATCTAGAAACATTCAAACCCCTACATGGTGGTATTCCCTCCATCCCAGATCAAATCAAATCCTGTATGAAACTGAAACGGCGGTGACTGCTCTACACCAGGACTCTTTACTGAAAGAATCACCGTAAAACTGATACATCCAAGCTCAAATGTTTGTTACAAGCTTCGAATGTCCGCATTTGACCCCTTAAATGTCCAGGTCCCACTGGAAGGCCTAAAGTTTTATTACACACTTCTATAACCTAAGAATAGCTTAACCAGTTTGCACTGAAGTCCTTGTAGTTACTGAGTAATAAGTCTTAGAATATAATAAGCCTGGGACCTTAAGGGGTTGATCTATCATGGGCAAACCTTGTTCATGTGAATCGCTATTAGCTTAGTGCCAGCCTGTTACAGAAGTCCCATATTGGTGCTAGGAAGGTTAGCATTGTCATGTATTTGATATTTATGCCTTGAACTGAAGGCCTAGCTCTGATCATGGTTCACAACATTTGCACTCTACGTAAAAGTGCTAATCTCTGCAGGCCGATTTGTCATTCAGCAGCCATTCAGTCGGATGTTCTTCCTGAACACATTAGAAGTTTGTGTTTCATTCCTGCAGATTTAAGAAACACTTCAGACAAACAAGTGTCTCTCAGTAACAAGCAACAGCATTTGAGAAACGAAGACATCAAAGATATGCGTGAGTGCGCACGCACATGCACACACACCTGAACTAATTTCATTTCGAGTTCTGTGAGGAAATTAAAATATTCATGAAGCGCAGAGTGCTGTGTTGCCAATAATAATTTTATGCAATTTCTGGTTCCAATAAGTTCATTCCTTATGCAGGTGGGGAGCAAAGGCAGCCCCGCCAGGGTCCTGCTCCCAAAAAACTTGGCTTGGCTTTCTCGATGGCTGTAGGCGCATAGCATGACAGCCAGGACTGCACTTACTGATCTAGAGGCATGAACACAAGTATGAATGAGTGAGTATAGAGTACTTCATTTTTCAGGAGATGTTCCTGAGGAGTTATAAGATAACCCATTTGCATAATGAAGGGGAAAGTCAAAGGAAAAAACCTGAAAAACTACAGAGAAAATGTGTCTCCTAACAACCACCTGGAAGACCCTGGCAGACCCCAAAACTGCCCCCATCAGATAAACAGCACTGAAAGCTTTCATCTTTGAGA